AACGCCAATGACTTGCAACTTGAATTGACTTGCATCTGTTGACTTGATGATGACTTTGACTATTTGACATTTTAGCACAAAAGTGACACGACATGGACAAAAATCATAACCATTCTTTGTTCTGGGTTTGATCTTGTTCTGCTAAATGCAGCAGCACTTTGTTTATAATTTATTTCAGTTGGACTTCCTGCTTGTTTGAGCAAATTAAGCTTTAAGAAGCTTTATTTTTGGAATTTATTTTTTATCATTGTCATTAAATTTAAGTTGAACAGATGACTTGTTTATGACTTGAAAATTCAAAGTTAAGGACTTGGACTTCCACATCATTGACTTTGGATTTGACTTGGACTTGACTGGAAAAACTTGTGACTTGCAAAGCAGTGACTTGGTCACACCTCTGCCTTAATTTCCTGGTTCCGGGGGAGGATGACCAGAAACTCTGAGTTCTGATACACTTCCAAAATGACCGTTATTCAGTAGGTTGGTTTTAAATTGGTTTATGTAGAAAAGCATAGAAATTTTTTCAAACAAGACAATGTGACCCCCTGAAGCCACCCTCATGGTCATCAGTCAAAAGGACCTTGAATGCTCCGAGACATTAATTTTTATCCATAACTTGGCTCTCCCCATTTGGTGACATGATACATTTCTATTGGATCAGTACATGGAAATGTGTCAAGATCCGTGTGTCACGAATCATTACCTAAACGAACAAGATGTGAAAACCATGGGTGTTGCTGCATCTAGTCTGATTGTTAGGGCTGGGATATAAATCAAAATGTGTCATAATCGAAATTTCTGACTCTTATCGAGAACATTTTTCCCATGTCAATAAATCTGATAATAAAAAAAGAAAAGATGTGTGTAGGTTGGCAACATCCATGTCCCTTTAACCCTCTGGAGGCAGGCGTTGCAGATTTGCAATGTTAAAACCTACCTGGTTACTCCACACACGTATTTCATGAGCATTTTTTTTAAACTCAGAAGTACCCCTGAAGGACTTACAGTTGTTCGTCCTTTTATCAAAACTTATTTTGAACCTGAGAGGGCTAAGAAGCTAAACCACCTTGAGTCATGTAAAATGTGACTCAAAGTAATGCACGTGACAGCCCCATCTAGTGGACAACTTTTGTTTTGGCGCATACCTGTAGTTATCACTCGTCCATTTATCGTTATTGAGGTGAAATCCTCAACATGTCGAGATATTGGTTTTAGGCCATATCGCCCAGCTCTTGTATGAATGAACTAACACTCCAGTATACAGGTACATAAGGGGGGTATGACCTAAACCCAGATTAAATGAATTCTAAAACAGTTTTTGGTCATTCAGATCAATCCAAAGGGGTTTAAATGAAGGCAACTTACTTCTTTGGATGCTTGAAGACGATTAGATTCTCATCTAAGAAGCTTTGTCAATTCTGACTGGAAAATGAGAGGGGCAAGCTTCTAAACTGTAGCTGTCTATTGTTGCCTAACAAGCAGAAACTACATATAAATACCCCTCCTCCCTACCTTGCGATGAGTCATTGGGGTCGTTAGCCTCTGTTGTGTGGAATTCATTGTACTGATTAGATACAAGAGGGTGTGACCTAGACTGAAACTGGGAATTACAGGTTTTCAATCAAAGGAAGCCCAGCAGATTGCATTGAGTCACTGACTTGTTCCTTAACAGCAACAACCCATACTAAGCAAGCATGTAGCGACTGTGGAGAGGAAAAACTCCCCTTCAACAGAAAGAAACCTCCAACAGAACCTGACTCGGTATGAGCAGCCATCTGCTACGACTGACTGGGGGTTTGAGAAGAGAGAGAGAAGACACTGAAAAAATAAATAACTGGAGCAAGAGTTCTTTTTATGTTAAAGAAACTAAAAAATGTAATAGCACTGTTAACTTCTTAAACCTTTAAACTCGTTCAGTAGTATTGAATAGCCATGTGATCAGTCAGATTTGAACTCGATACAACAAAAAACATAGATGTGCTATAATTAGTGCATGCTTTTAGTTTCCTTTCCTTTTTAGATTTACCATTAAATCACAAACTCTGTTCTCTTTCAACTTGATGCTTGGCCTTGTTTGTGATGACCCAGCTGATCAGAATCCCCAATGTTCCGGCACAATAAATGAAGGCGGTAATTTGTTTAATTCTTCTCTGAATTTCAGTAGATATAAAAACTTGTATCATTTTTGAATACTTTTGCAAGATTGAAAAAAATTCCTTGAATAATTTAAAGGATATTCACAAAGTTACTTGGCAGATCCCAAAATCTGTATGAAGATTATTTGCAGTCAACCTGGAACATCATCATGAACTTTATTACAGACATGCGTGGGCCTATTAGGAAAAAGAGAACGATTGAAATAAGTCTGAAAAAAAAACAAGATCATATTTAAAGTTTCTTTTGTATTTATGAGACTTAAAATGTCTTTAAAAGAAAAGAACATGGCCTGCTAGAGTGAGGAAACTAGACTGCTGCTGCTTTCGCTCCCCGACTAGAAAATAGATGAAGGACAAAAACAGCCCAGAAAGTTATCCTATCTTTGACACAAAGTTTCACTCAGATACAATCACATGGATGGATCCCAAATCAATGGGCCCCCGGTCAAAAACGTCACTCATTTCTCTTCTCCTGCATAGAAACACTAGGAGACACAAAGCAAGCTTTGTGTGTGTGTGTGTGTGTGTGTGTGTGTGTGTGTGTGTGTGTGTGTGTGTGTGTGTGTGTGTGTGTGTGTGTGTGTGTGTGTGTGTGTGTGTGTGTGTGTGTGTGTGCAATAATATATCCTCCTCTGTTCCATCTTATTTTCGCTTTGATTGAATAGCTGACATGATTTACTAAATTGTCCAAATCTAATAGTTTGTCACTTCTATGTATTACTTCACTTATTTGTCATGGGTGTGTGAACAAGGCAGCATATCACAACTTTGTATCTTGTCTTTTTTTTTTGTCTTATGTGTATTTAAGTCTCTTGTAAAACTTTAAAGTCAGATTATAATTTACAGGATTACAGGCTGTATGTCTCTGTCTTCTTTCTATCCATGAAACATGATATATTCTGAAACAAAACTTGATGTATCTTGTAAATGGTAGCAAATACCAATGTTCCAATGTTTTTTAAACTGTTTAAATAGTTATTTTTTACATGTTTGGTTTCAATAGAGATTTTAGACCAAATATAAATATATTATGATGGGAACGCCAGAAACACAAAATAAAAGGTTTTAATCGCCCCACAAGCAGCAGATTTGCTTTAGATCACAGTGTGTGGATGGTGTAATTCCGTTATGGCCACATGGGGGCAGCAACGACTAAATAACGCAGCAGAGTCGGCTCGCGCTGGTGTGACAGCCCTCGTGCTATTAATATCTACCGTCCCATCATAACTGGCCGATAAACCGAAAAGGTTAGGTGTGTTTGTGATTTTAAAAAATCACTATTAAGAATTGTAGCGTTTAAAATGTTACAAATGTGTCTTGACATTTGTCCAAAATAACTTTAATGAGGAACAAGAGCAGAAGTCAGCCTGACACCGCGTTTTTGTTGCTTTTTTTTTCTTTTTGGTTTCGTCGGTGGTTACTCAGCAGTTTTTGTTGGATGGGAGTGTCTGTATGTCCGCTTCTGAACTCTTTTTTTCTTTTAGCTGAGGTGGACGCGGTGAGGAGGTAGTTTCTCCACGTGTGGACCTTCTGCAGCAGCAGCCAGGTGACAGGACCGACGTCATGCTGCTAAAACCCTGCAGGACTCCTCTGCTGCTCACCGTCACCTGCATCTGCTTCTCCGGAGGTTTGCTGTGGTCCTACAAGGAAGAGGATGTCAGTGATGGGTAAATTCTTATTTTTACTTTGAATAGTGGTTGAATTTAAAAAATAACTTTAAATGTCTCAATTTTTACAGAGAGAAGTGCTCTGATAATAACATTTCCACCACCAAGTACCCTTGCGTGAAGTCGACGGGAGAAATTACGACTTGTTACAGGTACAGCAGAGACATTCACCCCATTGATGCTCATATATTTAGCTGGAACTTTATTGCTTTGTTACATTTCAGCAGGTCATTGAGCTGCAAATCAGTTAATGCAAAAGCTAGCAGTAAATTTATGTCATCTCTTCATTAAGAAGCATTAATAACAGGGAAGCATTCTTTAAACTAAGGTGGATTCGGTGTTTTCCGGGTATGATTTCAACATTCACATCTCTTTTTCTTATTTAATGATGATAAAGAAAGCGGAATGAATGTGTTCTTCGTGAGGATTTGATATTTGCAGATTTACCTGTCTGTTACCCTTGCCTGCTATTCTCTTACTACTTTGATGTTGTGACGGCCTGATACCACACAGCAGAAATCCTGTCAGGATTAAGTTATTAGAAGCTAATCTGACCTTGCAGATTCCCAATGCTTCACTGTCATAAGGAAAAATTACTTTAAGGAGCAAGTCTTTTCTGAAAGATTCTTGAAATTCCACTGGCTCTGTGGAAAAGTGCATGTTTAACAAATTAGTCACATGTGACAAACAGTAAAGATTTTGTATAAAGCTACAAAGTCAAACGAGCGTCTTTAGGTTTCGTGACTGGAAATAAACTTTTGAAAAAGTTTGAATCGGTTAACTAAAACAAGAGATGTGCTACTGAATCATCTCCAGTCGCTGCTCTTTAAAGTAGGCTTTGATTTTGTGCACTCTTGGGGACACTTTATCCTTGCCTGGGAGAGCCAATAAAAGCTCAAACGCCAATTATTGCATTGTGAGACTCTGTTTACTGCCACTTAGTGATTTGTGATGGGATGTGCACTTTGGAAACAAACTCATACAACTTATTTAGGGAGAGCATTTCAAACGTGTCAAAAATGTTCATTTATAGCTGTTTATTTTTGCATTTTACATGAGGAAAAACTAAATAAACGATATTACGTTTGCAAGAATCCTTCCAAGTGAATGCTTTTGTTTCTGTGTTGTTTAGCAAACCTCTGGCTGTGGTTCAGTGACATCCTGTTTGATCTCAAATGCACTCTGGGCATAATGATGTTGGTTTATGGTTATTGGCTGCAGCCACAACTGTTTCCCACACTGTTTATTTAAAGAAGAAAAACTGTTTCAGCTTAGAGCTAAGATCATATCCCCATGGGTGAATTGCAGTTCACCTGCAGTATTAGCAGCTGACGACCCATCAAGCCCAGTAAAGAGGCTTTATAAAAGGCACCAAAACTATAAAGAGCTCCTTCCCTCTGATAGGAATCCTTGCATTGTGCCTTTCTCTAGAAGCGGTCATATGCGAGGGCTAATATTTCTTGGCAAGGGTGAGAAATTGTTCAAAGGGAGCCAAGCATGATTTAAGCTGGCAAACCTTTGCTGCCAAAGAAAAATACAAACTTATGGCATCTGTTGGCCAATGAGAGTATCGGTTCACATCTTGGATTGTGCCGTCGGCTGCTTTTCTTCACCTTATTGAAAAGAAAATAGAGCTGATCTACAGGCATTAGTTCAAATGTCATCAAGACTTAAAATAAACACTAAGCAGGACTAATGTGGAATAATGTACTTGTTAGGTTTTCTTTTTAGTCACTTAACAGTTTAATATTAAATTATTGAATAAGTTGCTTTTGGTGCTGGGCTTCATTTGTCTAGGGATTTGTGTTACTGGACAGTAAAACGGACAGCTTGTTATGTAACCGTGTGAACTCTGGAGAGATCCATCATATTGTGAAAGGAAGCGGAGACACCAGAGACCGACTCTGACATGAGCTTTTCCTCTCCCGGTGAATCCAACTGTAGGAATTTGTTTTCTTTTGCGTTTACGTGTCAGGATTTAGCATTTCCAGCCTTTGTCGTTTATTCTAGTGTCTGCAGCTCCACAGGCCGTAGAGTTTTAATGTGTTTGGCTCAAAGGAAGACAAAAAGAATCATTGCAGGTTTTCAGTTCCAAACGCACTTCAATCACAAACGCCTATGTTTGCAACATAATACTTTGCTTCAAACCAGTGACGGGTTTGATTAAAATGATAAGCTGTGAGCTGTTTGTCCCACCTTGGCATGCTCTCTGCTGAGGCCTGCTGCGTTCTTGCAATGCATCACCCAGACATCGGTTTATGATCAGTACTACCCGTTGTATGTCTTATCTGTGTAACAGTTTTTGTTTCTGTTCCCCCTTTTCTTTGGTCTGCTGGTAACTGCTGGCTGCGTTCACCATATTTTCCCCTTTAATGTATTTTTCCAAAACCACAGTCCCTGTTCCATAAACCTATTACCTTCTATGTTCAGAGCCATTTTTTGTGGTTTATATCACAAAGCAAGATTACTGAACAAGTTAGATGGCTGCAGTTTATATTGCCCAACAGAGCCTTTCACTTAAACCTGGTATGCAGATTTTAGGACCTTGAAATTTAGTTCATAACCTTGGTATGCATGAAGACCTCTGTAGATTAATACACCTCATAGTGATTCATTAAAAACAGCACATCTCTGTGCTTTAGTACAGTCTTTTAGAATGAATCACGAGTCTCTCGCAATGCCAGATGATAGCCAGCTACAATGTGTTAACCATCATCAGGACAGAGACGTATTAATAATCTTTGTTTATAGCGTTTGGTAGGTGACAAGAACATGAAACAGGGGTTACACTGGCTTGATTTATTATGTAAACAGTGTTGACTTCACCTACTTGGTGAATGAAAAGCTACTCTGGAGAAAAAACAGAACACCGACAAAGTTAATATTTCCTCTTTACAGCTGTACCAATTACACATAATTGATATGTGGCATGTGTAATTGTTGCTTTGTTATTTTTTCTAACAGTTCTGGCAGAACTAAGCACTTTGTGTAGTTCCACACTTTTCTGCTTTGCACTCAGCTACACAGGCAAAAACAACATCCCCTTAGACTCCTCTTGGATGCATGATGGTCAGGATGGACATTGTTGTCTGATTAATCCTGCATTCTTTCTGTTCTACAAATGTCCGTTAAATCTAAAAGCAAATTGCTGTCTGACTTTTCTGTTGACTTGATGCAGATTAGGGAATTCAGAAATAAACTAAAGCTAATCTACTTCAAAAGACACAAGTAATTAATATTCAAGTCCACATTAATTAAAATGATGCTACACAGTTCCAGCGAGGTGATCACAACTTGGCCACGAAGCCTGACGACATTCTTGTTTCTTTTGTTCTCAAATCTGTTTTTCACGTTACACTCACATTTATTCTGCAACTTGGAAAATTTGTCTCAGTTGGACTTCTGTTCCCAGTCCCAGTTCAAATAACTTTCAGCACAGGAAATACACATGGGGGCTCTTTGTTGCCATCATCATGCAGCCAGTGAATCATACATTCATGAAGAAATATTGTGGCACATCCAGAGTTCAGCAGACCCCACTTAGATGATGCTTTGGTCTTTTGGTCCACCACATGTCTAGTGGTAATATTAATGTTCAGTACTAAAAACTTAGAGTTTAGATCAAGGAGCTAACTCCATCTGTTGAAAGTGAAGTCAACAGGGAAGTGAAAAAATTGCAGTCACCCCCTCACCCGCTGGGGGCTGGTTCCAGAAAGGTGCATGTTGCCATTGACTCCCATGTTAAAAATGCCGCCTTCACTGCAGAAACGAACATGTTTACAGCCTGGTACAACAAAACATCTTAAGTTTAAAAGGCAATGCCCTGGAAAATTGCTCCCCCCCCGCCCCCCAATGTTTCCCCTAGAAATTTTCCAGCTGTGGTGTGCAGGTGAGGGCGGACCGTTTCGCTGCCACGCTTTGTCCGTGCGTCTGTGTGTGTGTGTGTGTGTGTGGGGGGGGGGGGGGAGGTGCTCTTGTAGGCATGGCGCTGGAATTTCAGCCGTGGCGCAGTGCCACACCTGAGTCTATGTAGGGGAAACACTGCCCCTCCAGGAAATGTCAGTGTTAACGAATCACATTAATGTTCACACAAACTATAAACTGATCTTATTTATAATTCCATTTTTGGTTCTTTTTTAAAACACAGAAAAGGTTTCTCTTTACCTTGCTGACAGTTTGGTTTGCCGACTGCAAAACATCCTCAGAGCTGACGCTGATGGTGGCATCACTTCCTACTCCGTTTATCCGCGGGCAGCAGAGGACGTTGTCGCCCTCTGCTGCCCGCTCTCCCCTCTCCGATGATGCAGTCCCATGCGCGATCCAATGAGTAAACCCCATCGTCTCTGTTCATGGTCCCACATCCACGTCTCCTTATCTCTATAGCTTCCTTTATCCATCTTTTGTATTTCTGTTGTTCGGTGTTCATGATCCTTGTGTTGTCCCAGTCCATCATATGGTTTTCTCTTGTGCAGTGATCTGTTATGGCTGACTTCTTTATTGTACTTTCTGCTTCTTGTTTTGCTGCTCTTGTGTGTTTTCGATTTGCCTCTTTCTCGCACTCCTTTCTATGTTCTGTTGTTCGTGTGTTGAGTTGGCGTCCGGTTTCTTCTATGTATGTTTTATTGCAGAGTTTGCATGGGATTTTGTAAATGACTCCACATTTATGTCCAGCTGGTATTTTGTCTTTTGGGTGCACTAGTCTGTTTCTAACTGTTGTGTATGGTTATGTTGTGTTTTTTCATTGTTGCTCTTATTTTTTCTGTTATGCCTTTGATGTATGGTAGGGTTATCACTGGTTTTGGTTCTTGTCTTTCTGGATTTCTGGTTCTTTGCTTAGGTTGTTCTTTTCTTTCTGTTGTTGTTTGTTGTTTTCCTTTGTTTATTGTCCATGTCGGGTACCCGCAGGTCTTTAAAGCGTGTTGTGTGTTTGTCCTCTTGTTTACGGTAAACAGAGTAGGAAGTGACGCCACCATCAGCGTCAGCTCTGAGGATGTTTTGCAGTCGTTAAACGAAACTGTCAGCAAGGTAAAGAGAAACCTTTCCTGTGTTTTAAAAAAGAACCAAAAATGGAATTAGAAACTAAACACAGTAAGAACATACCAAAGATGATCTTATTTATGTAAAACAAAATAAGAATAATATAGTTGATGAG